GAATCGCCCTCCTTGATGATACCATTCATGATGATTGATGAGTATACATCAGCTCCTATTAGTATGTCGACTGGACGGCTAAGGTTATATTCGGGATCCGCTAAATTAACATGCTCTATACAAGCCCATGATGGCTTTTGGAATGATCGATTGGGTAGATTGTGAAGCAGAGTATTCATGATAATTACCTCAGTGGAAAAAGTGAAATCTGTATACACTGCCGATACTTCAATTTGTATAACACCCTTGCAATTATTTTCCTTGGCACCAACTCCCATTACAACCCCCTTGCATGCTCGTCGAGGAAGTCCCAATCTTTGTGCAGCTTTTTCCTTTATTAATGATACTTGGGATCCTTGATCTATTAGAGCACGCATAGGATAATAAATCCCGTTTATTCCCATAACCTTGATTTGAGCTGTTGCCAACAAAGTTTCAAATATCTCTGGATTTGATACGTGTGTGACATTTTTCCGTTCCTTTAATGTCGAAGCGATAGCGTCAGACTTCGCGCTACTGGAACCCGAGTAGGTGTCGTGTAACAAGGTGTTATGTTCACCATGACATTCACGACATCTTTTATCGGAAATACATGCCTTACCTTTGTGGTCATAAAGACAGTTTTTGCATAAATTCAGTTTATTGATTGTCCTGCGTTTAGAATCTGATGTAGATTCTACGAAGGTCTTGCAACTGAATAAGCGATGATTTTCTCCACAAACCGGACATTTCCATTGATTTTTAGTTGAATAGTTGTTTAAAAATGATTTACTTGATTTATAGAAATGCTTCTTATTATTGGGCTCTTGTTGAGACTTGTTATCTGATTTGATATCTGATTTTTGCACATCTTGCTTACGCCGTGATGCCTCTAATGATGTAAACTTATTCTCCAGAAATCCCAAAAAATCACTCAATATTGGTAGTTCTCGTGGGTTTTTCAAAGAGTCCGTATAGTCAGAGTGGGTCTGTTGATCCAGTTTCAATGCTAGTATGTGAACAACAAATGGATCCCACGTTGCTGTGTCAACTCCAAGATTTTTAACCGCATTCAGACACTCATTAGTAATGTCATACATTTTTTTTATTTGAGAAGCTGACTGTTGTTGCATAGTTGGTAATGATAAAAGGATATTGACGTGAGAGCTAAATATTAATTTTGTGTTATTGTATCTGTGGTTTAATATGTCCCAGCAGACCTTATAGTTCTCGGTGCTAATATGTAAGTGCTGGATGAGTCTCTCTGGTTCACCTCTGAGCTTAGATTTCAAAAATTGCATCTTTTGTGCACAGGAGATGGAGCGATTGCTGTGTATAGATTCCGTGAATAAGTCCTTAAATGCTATCCATTGATGATAATTCCCATTAAATGTTGGGATGTCCATCTTAGGGGTACTCTTATCACGGTGAGAGACAGACCACATCTTACGGTTGATATTTGCTTGATTTCTTGATAAAGTTGTTCGTATTTGCTGAACAACTCTTCATACTCTTGATTTTCATCAATTGTTTCGCTATCAATCTCCCAATGCAATGAGTCTATTGTTGACCATCTTGACTGAACAGCTTGTAAATGATCATCAAACTCCCACTTTTCCGATATTTTATCTAAATCTATAGTTGCTATGGTACGCGAGAAAGCCTTGAAATTACTCTTTTGTTTTCTAAGCATCTCTTCCAGCTTGCTGCTGTTACCTTGTGAAGTGTAAAATATCGGCGCCTTGGTTGTAACCTTGGTGGTTGTTTGCTGAATATCCCCAATATCTGTCGATTTGCTACCGTGCCCCTGACTCTTCTCCACTTCAGCTGCTTGCCTAGATGATTGTGGAATAGTCGGTGCTTCGATAATTTTAGGGTTGGTCATGGTGACCATGCTCTGCTGTATGTATTCACGTGCCTCGTTATAAAAGGTCTTAGTTTTGTTATAATAATTTTCTGAAAAGTAGCTGTAGCCACGGTCTTCAGATTTTATTAATTTGTTATGATTGGACTGGAACTCTTCCCAATATGAATCGAGAAGCTCTATACGTTTTTTAACATAAGTAGAGGTTCTTCTTTCAGGTCCATCTTTTTTAAAATTACGCAAGACTTGTTCCATGCCTTGCATAATTTGGTTTTGATTTTCCATTAGGTTCTCCATGTTAGAGATGATATAGCTTCAGTGATAAGCTTCCTTGAGAATAGATACCCTGTAAACCCTTGGTGCTAGCTGACAGAGCTGATAAGTCTATTCTGATTACTGATAATGATGCTGAGGTTGGTGATGCAACAACAAAATGATGCTAACCTCGCAACGAGTCCACTCGAAGATGTAGACCAGATGCTTCGCTGTGGCGATTAAAATGAGGGCACACTCACCGGTATCTGCTGCTTTATTACATAGTGGTTCCTCTGATAGTAATGTTCCAGAATATCCACTCACTAGTTTAGCGGGGTGATACTTGTGTTGTAACACGCGCAAGGCCCCGCCAATTCGGTGGCTCGAAGGACCAAAAAGTTGTACGGGACAACTACAAATGATACGATGATATAGTGATAATATAACTTTAATGATAGTTACATGATACAAATGAGTAACCGCGGCGAGAATCGAACGCGAACTGAAGTAAAGTGCGCTCGCGGTACAAAAGTACTTATTCTACAATATTCCAATAATTGTACGGGTGGACCGTACAATATATGTGTTGTCCTTGTATGTGTGTACATAAATAAATAAATATGATGCTAGTCTATTATTAATATTATACACCAAGTTGTTCCGAATTACAGCTACGTTACGACTCTAACGTACAAGAATCCAAACTACAGTTGCTAAGCACGGATTGGTAAATCGATAAAGCCCAGAGGGAACGGACGCAAGAATATAGCGAGCACGCGTGTGTACCTGTAGATGCACCCGCGTGAGGTCCCCGCCGGCGCCGTGCTGGAAGTTGGCGCGCATGAGCAGGTACAGCGCGGCCGCCGCCTCGCGCCGCAGCCACGCCGCGCGCGCAACAATATAGAGAGTGTGTGTGTACCTGTAGATGCACCCGCGTGAGGTCCCCGCCGGCGCCGTGCTGGAAGTTGGCGCGCATGAGCAGGTACAGCGCGGCCGCCGCCTCGCGCCGCAGCCACGCCGCGCGCGCAACAATATAGAGAGTGTGTGTGTACCTGTAGATGCACCCGCGTGAGGTCCCCGCCGGCGCCGTGCTGGAAGTTGGCGCGCATGAGCAGGTACAGCGCGGCCGCCGCCTCGCGCCGCAGCCACGCGCGCGCGCCCAATATAGAGAGTGTGTGTGTACCTGTAGATGCACCCGCGTGAGGTCCCCGCCGGCGCCGTGCTGGAAGTTGGCGCGCATGAGCAGGTACAGCGCGGCCGCCGCCTCGCGCCGCAGCCACGCGCGCGCGCGCAACAATATAGAGAGTGTGTGTGTACCTGTAGATGCACCCGCGTGAGGTCCCCGCCGGCGCCGTGCTGGAAGTTGGCGCGCATGAGCAGGTACAGCGCGGCCGCCGCCTCGCGCCGCAGCCACGCCGCGCGCGCAACAATATAGAGAGTGTGTGTGTACCTGTAGATGCACCCGCGTGAGGTCCCCGCCGGCGCCGTGCTGGAAGTTGGCGCGCATGAGCAGGTACAGCGCGGCCGCCGCCTCGCGCCGCAGCCACGCCGCGCGCGCAACAATATAGAGAGTGTGTGTGTACCTGTAGATGCACCCGCGTGAGGTCCCCGCCGGCGCCGTGCTGGAAGTTGGCGCGCATGAGCAGGTACAGCGCGGCCGCCGCCTCGCGCCGCAGCCACGCCGCGCGCGCAACAATATAGAGTGTGTGTGTGTACCTGTAGATGCACCCGCGTGAGGTCCCCGCCGGCGCCGTGCTGGAAGTTGGCGCGCATGAGCAGGTACAGCGCGGCCGCCGCCTCGCGCCGCAGCCACGCCGCGCGCGCAACAATATAGAGAGTGTGTGTGTACCTGTAGATGCACCCGCGTGAGGTCCCCGCCGGCGCCGTGCTGGAAGTTGGCGCGCATGAGCAGGTACAGCGCGGCCGCCGCCTCGCGCCGCAGCCACGCCGCGCGCGCCTCGCACAGGGACACCACGGCCGCCACCACGCCCGCGCACACCGTGCTACCGCCTGGCGATACTTATATTATACTAGTGGACCCAACAGACGTTGTCCTGCATATCCACTTGAATGTATAAACAAAAATTTTAACATTCAAATTAGTTCAGCCGTTTAGGATAAATAACCTAAACATCGACTGCAGCGCCATCTGCCGGGCTGATTTGTGAATCTAAACCATTCCCAGATCCCCTTGAACACACACAAAAAATTTCATCAAAATCGGTCCAGTCGTTTGAGAGAAGTTCAGTGACATACACACTCACAGAAGAATTATATATATAAAGATTTAGAAGACTGCCTCGTTGGCCGAGTGGTCGCAAGTGCAACTGCCGGCCAAGGGGTCTCGGTTTCGATTCCCGGGTCGGACAAAGTATTACTGGGTTCTTTAAAAATTCTCAGTAGTAGTACGGAGTCTGGAATTGAGCCCGGTATATGGCAATAGGCTCACCCCCTATAACATGGAACTCGTAACATAAATAGTAAAAAGTGGGTGTTACATTGTACATTGTACAGTGGCATAATGTGCACTTCTGCGGGGAAAGAAGCGTGATATAGTTGAATTTAGAAGTTGTTGTTGTATTTAGAAGCTTGTACTATATATTTCCATACAAAATAAATCTCTTAAATTCACATGTCATTAATCATTCGTATAAACTGTAGATTCGTTTAACACATACATACATATTGGTTAGAATTGTATTATATTTGCAGGTCAATTGCTTTCCAAAAGTGTCCAAGTGTTAAGGAACACCCGTTTTTAACATTACTAGAGTCGAGTCTAGTTTTAGAGTCTGCTATCCATGTGTAATTATGTAAATGCTAAAATTAACGTTGCACGATACAAGAATTAAAGCGCAGCACACTTGTTACGATGTGTTTTTCTTAGTCAATCATAATGTACTCACTCACCTTCAAACAGTGTCTCAGAGAACTGGTTAATATACGCTCTCAGAGCTGAAAACAGGTGCTTATACAAAGTCTCGCTCTGTGGGTACTGCAGTAGTTTGAGATAAGGCTTCGCCGCGACCCCGTCAGCCGCGCCCAGGTTCTTCATGAAGAGACACGCGCGGTCTATGATGGTCAGACCCACTTCTGTAGCGAGGCAGCTCGCTGATAGCACTGTGTGTTCCGCTATTGCTTCCAATTCTAATAAAAATTGAAAATGTTTAAAGCCTAATTACTGTTTGAATTATTTATTAACAAGACTAGAATATTCAAATATTACTTAGCACTGAAATTAAAACACGTCGCTTGTGGTATGATTATGACACGTACTAGAACTAGAAAGAATTAACAAGCAACATAAATCCAACCCCCATCATTAAACTTTATCTGTAGCTCGTTGTATTTGAAAAAGTATATCAAATGCCCGTATTTGAGTTTTCTTTAATCAGTCAGTTAGATACTATGACGCGCATCGAAATAAATGGATATTTCCCCTATCTGCGCTCCTATTTTTCCTATTTTTTAATCCTTTCAGGGTAAAATAGTTTACAAATACAACTTACCAGTAGTAACAGAAGGATTAACAAGATTTTCTCTATTGACAGTATTATTTTTCTCCACAACTATTGGTGGTTCCTTTGAAAAGTCGGGCGGGCTCATCCTGGCGGGTAACGTCCTGGCTTTTACTGGCTTCGGCTTGCCATTGCAGTCCGGTGTAGTTGCTTTCATTTCTGATAGTATCTTCTTTCGTCCGACATATTGGAATTGTTCTGCGCATATTCTGAAATGGTGTATGAATGTTAGAGATATGTTGAGACGAAAATCGACTATATTTTGTAGTAATATCGTATACATTAGCCTGAGAATTGAATATGTTACCTTATTCTACAAAAAAATATACTATTCAATGTTGTTACATTGTGATTGTCTCTTTGACTTACTTATATTGTTATTATTGTTTCTACGCCTATGAAGGCCATTTTCACTACTAATCAATTTAACTGTACCTACCTATGAAACTGGCTGCAAAAGTTATTGTTTTTACATAAAAAGAAGTAGATAGGTAAATATAACTTACTCCAGCACATTAAAGAAGGATTGCTGTTGAGCCTGAGACTGTGTCCTCCACCAGTCCACGAGTCTCTCGTCGTCCAAATACTTCAACACGTACAGGAAGCACAATAGAACATCGCGCACCTCTTCCGCGGACATCACACCGAATCTACATGAAAAAACCATTACTATAGGTTTGGGAATAGATTCCATTATTGAATGACAAAGGTTTAGCACACAAAACTTCTACTATACCATTGAAAATAGAGTTTGGTACACAAAAACAATCACTATGACATTGAGTATAGATTTTATTATTAAATAATACGTATACGTACACATAAACGATCATTATAAAATTTAGAATAGAGGTCATTATTGAATGACAAACGTTTCATACCCAAAAACTAACACTATACCTTGGATTTCCAAGGATCTGGATGTTAAACATTTCGTATACAAAAACGATCACTATCACTTTGAAAATAGAGTTTACATTTGATTACTTACCTATTAACTTGATCACCAATTTCGCTCAAGTCCAGTCGTCCAATATTTCTTGGTAGCGAGTCACCTCCGGACATAGTAGATACTGATTCTAAACTGCTTTGTGACATGTTGTTGGCGTGATCTAAAGAAATACAACGATGAACTTTACTTTAATTAATCAAAAGTTTAAAGTTTCAAAAACAGTGTCTTAATAGCTCATTTAAAACATCCGGGAACCATTACCATAGTGCCTATTGGATAAAAAACAAACGTTAAAATCGTAATAAATACTCTTTCGAATCTTCTAGGAGAGAATAACGGAGTACATTTACAAGTATTTCACATCAAATTAAACTGTCAAACACCAAGCGGTCACCGGTGACCGCGACCTATTGTTCTTTAATTGTGTCTATAAAACCGGTACTCGACGAGTTAAGAAGCATTTTTTTTTAAACGGTGCCCCACACTAGTATTTTCTCCTGTGTCGTGGGTGCGTTTACAAACATACAATTTCACATACACAATGACACCCAGACCCGAAACAACAATTTGTGGATCACACAAAGTGTTGTTCCGTGCGGGAATCGAACCCGCGACACGTTGCACGGCAGCCGGTTGCCCAGCCACCGCACCAACCGTGCAGTCAAAATATATGAAATCTTACCTTTCCCATACATATGATTCCCCGGTATAGTGGGCGGTTCTTTGAAATGTGCGGAGTTCCTGACGGGGGTGTGGTCGAAGTGTAACGTGAGCCTGTTCCGTCGCGGCGTGCTGTTGGCGGACGCGGCCTCCTTCTGGGTGCTGTTGAGGACCGGGTTCATCGTGCCGTCGCCGTCCACTCTGTCGTGACCATTCTCTATTGGACTCGCCAAGTTCTTTGTTATTAGACGATGTGCGTTTTCTGTTAGGAGTATACGTTTTTTAGTTATTGTTTTGCACATAAAATAGAGCAGACAGATCACCTGGGCCTTTAGCCAAACGTCACTTTAGCGCTTGTCTACAGAGAGAGTAGAAATCAAAATGTATGGGGATGACACTGACAAGTGTCAAAATTTACGTCAATTCCATATAATTTGGTTTTCTATTCTACATGTAGACAAGCGCTAAATGGCATTTGGCTACAGCTGCTGATATGATAGTAAGCTATTGGAGCCGCGCATAAACCCCCGCTTCATCAGAGCAGTTAGGAGAGAACTTGGGAAGGGTTACGACTGGGGGATGAAGGCAAGAACTATGGATAGGGGGGGGGGGGGAGATGGGCATGGAAGGCGAAAACTGGGATGAAGGGGAGAATTTGAGATTGGGGGAAAACCGAAAATAGGGGAGAGAATTAAGGAATTGGGAGGAGAATTGGGCCTCCACTAACCTCACACAAAGAAATACAACAAAAGCGTTGTCTTACGCCGGTTTACAACAGATAGATTAAAAAACATACTAACCGAGTACAATAGTAAGCCACGGTGAGTACAAATACGCCAACCTCGCTCTGCACTGTCGACTCCTATATCTATCATCATGTTCATGCTTCGTCAATAAAGCTCGCAACACACTCAACGCAGACCTACGCTTCATTGGCGCCTCTCTCAGTGACTGTTCCACCTTAAAAATAAAGTAGAAATTAATTCAAAATATTTTAAAAAGGAATAATAATAATTATGATTCAAGCATGTCTCATGCTATTTTACTAGCAATGTACTATGTGTAAAACAAGGATATACTTGTTTTAGCAGGGTTCCGGCAAGAAAGTGTCTCATAATAAAATCTTCAGTGAGCCTCAGCTTGGCGGGATCTGTGTAAGAGTAACAATTATTTTGGTAATGACTGAACTTATTTATAAAAAAAAATTGTATGTAAGCACAGCGTCTTTATATCTTAACGTACTTTATAAAGAAAAATGTATTAAAATTAAAAACACACCGTATATGGTGAATACACTTTATAAGCATCTGTGTATCAGACGATTTTCAACCTTATAACTTTACGCATAAAGTTATAAATTAATCTCCAACCAAATCAAAGGCAATTTTCATCAAGATATAGGTATACTATGCGTCAAAAATCATTTTTAAATACAATTACTAACCTTCATCCCCATCTTTAGGCAATTTATTGGCATGTAAAGGCAGATTGAACGGCACAAAATGTTCATGAGAACATATAGTTTGTAGGAACGTGAATTTGAAGTCAAACAACGCTTTAGGATCGCAGACTTTGAACTTATCGAGGTATTTCTTTATTTGTCGGAACACAAAACCTCTGTCCATGAATGATAGGCAAGACTGTAAAAGAAGATTTAATTTGTGATTATTGCGTTTCAATTTCATAAAAACGTAGTTTTTTAGTTTCACACCTAAATAGGATTTCATCACTGCAGCTGGTCGTTCAGACATTATGCAAACGATGCAGTGCAATTTCCTTAAGAGCTCAGTTATTTATTTAAAGAAGTCATAATATAAAAAATAACATAAAAAAAACACTTACTTTTAAAAATGTGGCAAGATTTTTGTTGAATATATGAGTCTGCATTGGTTGTTGTAAAATGTACGAAGGTTCAACAGTCGTAACTAATTTCTCAATGTTCTCTAGAAGATCTGCATGGAACCGTTCGTGGCGTGACATCTAGAAATATTACAATGATTTTATGTAAAACATACGCTTATTAAAATATTTTTATATATTATACATACTAGTCAAGATAAAAAAAAAAAAAAAATATATGCATCGCTAATTTTAAATAACGTCTTTTCACGCACAATTCTTGCAAACTTCAATACAAAAAATGGAGTTCTAGTTTTCCTTACAATTATGTTCGTATAACCTATGTTGGTACTCACTTTTATCCTCCCTGTATTGATAAGGTACTGCGCCATACTCTTAGTGATTATATCGAAGAAGAAGCCGGAGTACTGCATGAATTTGTTGCCGAGCAAAAAGTCCGGCTGGTTGGGATCCACGAACATGTGTAAAGGAGCCGTCAACATTGTGTGCAGTTTGAATTCCACACAATTAAATACGTACTGGAAAGATAATAAGGTTGATTTTAGTGAAAAATAGAACAATAATACATAGTTGCTACGGAAAAACATTTTATTTTAGTGTGATGAAAATAGCGAGTTTATTGGCAAACACTATCGATACCAAACTTTATTCTGTTACTGAATCCCGGAGTGATAAGACCTGCATTTCTTTTAATTGGTTTCGAACGAATGAATGGTAAGACTTTTTTTAAGGTGGGGAAATCATCGAATGACTTCTCTCGCCTGAGAATGGTTAGACTATGATTATAAGAACATTTCGAACTTACCTTAACATAGCTATCCAACAAATCCTTCCGACCGTAATCGTGTATCATATGCACAAAATGCACAATCAGTTTTACAATCTGGTACCCCATGTCCTGAGTGTAACTTTTTTCAACTGTCTGTAAATGTAAAGTAAATTGTAAGAGACACATAAGCATAAACTTTAATAAACCACACATTATTACTTTATAGTTGCTATTAATAACGAACCTTATGGCTCTTAACATAAAAACTGCCAGTGTATTCGAAAACAATACGAGAAGTTAACTATAAAATCATAGTAAAGTCGACGAAGACCAAAAGAGGAAATTAGTCCTTACGATCCCCTTGTCTAAAATCAACGTAATAAAAATACTTACCATTAATTCAAACAGTTGATTCATAATAGTTGGCAAGAAAGCTACGAGCGAGCTCAATTTTATTGCGTGCGCAGCTTTGAGCGCGTTGCATACGTCATTCCACGGTGGAGGGGAGGGTGAAGTTGGAGGTGAACTGGATTTGATCAGTCTCTCAGCCTGGCTGAACAGGTTGTGCAAGTGAGGGTCTCTGGTAGCCACTGTGGAGTCCAGGACCAGTTGGCAACGAAACAGCTGCTTCTCACCTTCCACCCAAACCACTTCTGGACCGGTGTTCTGTAAAGGAGATGATAAAATTAACTAGTAATTTGAAGAAGAAATGTCTTGGCTAAGATAGTCACAACATTGAGCAATTGAACAATTTCATAATCTATGCTATTATTGATTATTTTGTAATTGTAAGCCGATTTTTTTTGTACTTATGCTAAAGACATTCAAATTCGAAGCTTCATGTTTGCCAAAGTCACTTAACACTTCTCTTATCCAAGTTACTTATATTCTACAAAGTATATTATATTACCTTTTGCCCGCGACTTTGCATGGGACCATTTAATCGGTAAAAAATCTTATCAGCTAAGTCAGCCTATACTCTGTCTGTATACCAAATTTCATCAAAACCCCTTCAGTAGTTTCAGCGTGATTGACAGAGAAACATCAAAACATACAAACAAAGAAACTTTCATATTTATAATATTAGTGTGATTTCTCTTTTCTTCTTATAAAAACCAGAGATGAATTAGTTTCAAAAAATAGATAACATAACTTCACGCCTTTTATCCCCGAAGGGGTAGGCAGAGGTGCACATTACGGAATTTAATGCTATTTATGTTATGAGTCCCATGTAATAGGGGGTGAGCCTATTGCCATACACAGGGCACAATTCCAAACTCCGTGCTACCACTGAGAATGTTTAAAAAACCCGTTAGTACTTTACCCGACCCGGGAATCGACCCCGAGATCCTTTGCCCGGCAGTCGCACTTGCGACCACTCGGCCAACGAGGCAGTCAAATAAACAAGAAAATAACTTACTCCTTTCCCAAGTCCTAGTGGCTGAATGGACAAGTATCCAGATGGCAAGTGTGTGGCAATAGGCAAGTTTACAACCTCATCCACCAGTTTATCGTTCTTCAATAATGGGATCCACGCGTACCTGAAATTGTACACAAAGTACGTTGCTTTTTTTTAATGTTACAGATTAATTCTCCACGGATTCTTGGTTCGTGACCTTGTCATATAACTTTTTAATACAATACATCTAGTCAATTTTCATAAAGTAAAGAAGGTACCTAGTTAGACACCACAATTAACCACATCTATAATTATTGCTAAAAGTATAAATTACATAATAATTAGGTATTATCTATTTCGAAGGCTCTACGAAATCAGCCCACCAACAAGATGGGAGAGCCGACCTGACCCAGCAGAAGGCACCCGTTCACGAGTATGACGTGTGTGTCAGCAATTGGTCGTACGTTGCTTTAGAACCGCCACCATGATAATGATTATTGATTATCAGCCCTTTTACTTCACATGGGGAATGCCGTAAGAATCCAAGGTTGGGAGGTAATTTCGACATTGCTTTTAGTTCATCGATTTAGATTGGAAGATGCTGCATCTTAGCCCATGGTGGCTAATAGGAGTTCAGGTTATTATACTTCAGAATACATATTGAAGTTGTTTAAAAAAAAAATATTTAGTCTCAACATAATTTCTAGCTTATATTAAATAAAAAAATGAAATAGAAATATTGAGTTACATTATCAATTAATATGTCTAGATTTGATATTACTATGGTGCATTGTTTTCAATAAACAATAGAACGGGTATTATTAATTTGCGATTCATTTACTTGCATGTGATTACCGCCAAAGGTTGTAAGAATGTTTGTAAGATATTGGGAGAAAAAATCGAAGTAAAGATAAATATTATTGTACAATCGACAAAGTTGGTGGTCGACCATCATTATCGCACGCATTATCATATTAGCATGTACACGACGCAAGGAAAACAGGGCACGACCACAAGGAAAACAGCGCAGTGGATACTCAGTTTCCCACCCGATTTTGTTTAAAAAGTGTACTACCGTAAGCTTTGCCGATCGTACAAGCAACAATTAAACATAACGCCTTTTTATCCCCGAAGGGGTAGGCAGAGGTGCACATTTCGGCACTTAATGCCACTGTACAATGTAACACCCACTTTTCACTATTTATGTTATGAGTCCCATGTAATAGGGGGTGAGCCTATTGCCATATACCGGGCACATTTTTCCAGACTCCGTGCTACTACTGAGTTTTTTTTAAAAAAACGCAGTAATACTTTGCCCGACCGGGAATCGAACCCGAGACCCCTTGCCCGGCAGTCGCACTTGCGACCACTCGGCCAATGAGGCAGGCATTGTGAATGAGTTTGTCATAAAAGCTTTTTTTTAAGTGTAACTATATTGTTTTTTACATGGCCATTGCAGTAGAATTAATAATTTGGTGTATTTTTTTTAAACAATTAAAAACTTACCCAATACAAGTTTCAACGTTGGCATCATTTTTCTTGGCAAGGTCGCAGGATATGTGGTGGAAGGTGAACAGGAGGTGATGCTGCGCAGTTATGGTGGCGGGTAGACGAATCTTGGCTTCATCACTCCAGGTGGGATTCGCATTGTGATGTAACACCGAACAACGGTACTGTGACGTCATGCCGAACCGTCCATATACAGCCTGGAAAATAGAATAGTTTGGTGTGTAACTTTATGCCTAGCTTAAAATAATTGTTCAAATACGCAAACGCTACTCAATTTTAAGTCGCGCTGAAGTATTGCTATTTAAAATTGAGTAACCTTTCAGTATTCGGACGTTAACTGTTTTTAATGAGGTCTACCGTTGTTTGCTTGGCGAAATGGCGCTTACACACAGAAAATTAGTAAGTGTCAAAAAGCCCACGTGATTGAATCTCACGTTATATTAAACTTGGTAATCAAAGATGGCCGTTATTGCGAACTTTACCATGTAGACTTCTGAATTGGTATTATTAATATTAGATATTTTAAAACAGCGACTAACGTAGGAACCATTAAAGGACCTTGTATTCTACAGATGCATTTATGACTTCAAAAATACTCATAAACAAAACTGAACTTCCATTTAAACTAGTTATCCTTGTTCCCAAGAATTCCATAACTTCACAGTGCATATATTTATAATAATAAAATGTTTAAGAATTTAGAAATAAGTGGAACAAAACGACATTGGCATCATACATACGTAATCAAAGAGGAAATGCCACTTCTGATATCTTATCAAACATTATATAATTAATGTAACCTTTTTCAGGCAAATTGAGGAAATGTTAGAATAGTTTTGATAACCTTAACAAATAAATATATTTGCAGTACCCAAAGGCCAGAATACACTTTTTTTAAGGGGGGAAACTCATCGAATTACTGCTCCCGCCTGCATGAGGCGTGAGCGAACTCCTGCACATCGAGCCGCAGCCCCGGTAACCCGTCAGTGCTCAGTCTGTGCCATAAAGGCTTTTACTACATACGCATGAAGAGCAGAGTTGGGTACACACTGTATATGTACCTACCAAATCATTTATTATTATTATTTATTTATTTCATGTCTCTATACCACTCTAAGGTAGACTGGCAGAGAATGCTCTTCGCATTTAAGTTCGTCTTGTGCTATAAGTACAGAAGAATTAAATAAATAAATATACGGCAGAGTCTATATGGACTTACCTGCATCGGTTTATTTTCACCCGTATCGCTATCTCTCAGCTCAATAGAGCACGCAATGTTCCTAGCTCTGGCAAACATCTTCTGAGATTCAAAGTTCAAGGCGAGGGGGCGCACGTACAAATGGTGTATGTACGCTGCATACGGCTGCTCTGGCTCCACGTTTAGAGTAGCCAGCTCTAATGTCAGCGGCGATGTAGGCGGTAAAGGAAAAGGTTTCAATGCTGCGTACGAAGTAGACATGCAATCTGGAATAAATGTGTTTTTTTAACATGTAGACTTTCAAATATAATAGGGGCAGGTACGATTCCAAACTCTGTGCTACTGCTGAGACATTTTGAAAAACCGAGAATTATCCAATAGGAATCTGAAACCCCTTCATCAGTCACGCTTACGATCATAGAATGCTACAAAACTGTCCAAAATCTGAAGAATACAAATTATAACAAAATTATTATTATTCTTACTTGGTACTTGTTCATTGCTCTGATTTATATTAATGCTGAGCCACCCTGGTATCACAGTCAGTTTCGACATCTTCTCGGACTTGCGATAGTCTGATAATATCTTCAGGAGATCATCATCAGACATCTTATTCGGTTCCTGCCGGTATATGGCTGGGAACTCCGGCGTCAAATCTAAATCATTGCTGTACATTCTGAAACAATACATACACACTGACATAATATCATGTATTTAATTCCAAGGAGTATTTATCCGGGATTTAAATATGCATAATATTTTTAACTAGCTAATAAATAAGGCTGTTGGGAACCAACTGGATGAAAGCTTGCTTGCTACGTAGGAACAAGGAAGAGCGGGTTTTAATGCATATAGGTATTATAAAAGTTAATAATTCGATAAACAGATTTAAAATTTCTAAAATTCAGATTTAAAATTCTGTGGTAACTGATGATCGAGATCATCACAAAACTTACTTGTACAAAGGTTTCGCCGCCCAAGCAAAGGGCATCCTGTAAGTTCCCACGCGGTTTGCATACGCCTGGACATTCTTGTGTACTTTGAGGCCAAGTCTCGGGTCCTTGGTGGCCTTGAGGTAAGGCTCCAGCACCTGACTCACGTGGCCTTGTAAGATTTTATCAATCCTTACTACGAGAAACAAGTCTGGGTGCGGATTGTTTACAGACAGCATTACCTGTGAAAGCGCAAGATTGTATAACAAAACATTATCATAAATGCATCTCAGCCTTGATTTCTATTTCCCTTGTTTATCTCATGTGTCAATGAATGCTAATAAATACCTGTTTCTTCGATCTAAACCACTCTTCCGGTATCTGATTAACGTCTAACTTAACATCGTAACTAAAATTCTCAACTAATGACTTCGTATCCTCGGTATCCTTGACTAGATCTTTCACGGCATCATGGTTCAGGTCGAAGTGGAAGTTCTCCGAGAGTTTCTTCCCACTCCTCGCGTCGTACAGCGCTAAGTACGTGTAATAAGGCTCTACTTGACACAACAGTTCTTTATCGCCGTCTATCGGCGCTTGCAACCTAAACTTTAAGCTTTCGCATTTGAGCAAAATTCTTTGGCCAAAGTGTTCTCTGAAACAATAAAATGCCGTTGAACCTAAGTCGTGAAAACAAGAATGTTCGTGACAGTTATCTGTGTTAGAAAAAAAGCTAGATACACTTTTTATCGTAGGAACAATTTCTAGTTGAAATAGTCTTATTGTCGTGCAAAAAGGTGACATAAAATTGAGGTAAGCGCACGGTTGCTTTCACTGGCACGATACACTGGCAAGAAATTGTAGAAATAATAAAAAGTGATGCACGTACTTGAATGGTTCGAGCTGGGGTTCAGGCGAGGGCGCGCGTTTGTATGGCATACTGAAGATGTTGTAGCGGCACTCATTGCGCGCGGCCGCTATAGACATGTCTGTCTCGCGGGAGTACCGCATGAGTAGCGGGTTCATACTGTGCTCCAAGCCCTTCAGGGTGCCGTACGTAGGAGGAGGAGGTTCCGCTGTCAGAGATACGTCCGCATCTAAACAATCGACACCAAAACAAATTATATAGATCCTGTAATTGCCAGTTGAAATCTAATAGACTAGCTCAGAGCCCTTACGGAGAACAAATTCCCTACCTTTGTCCAAAGCTTCATCACTTTGGTGAGTCTCTTGGCTATCCTGGTTTTTCTTCAAGGCCGCTTTAAAAGCGTTAATCCAATCATTTACATCTTCTTCATTTTCAGCTGCAAACGTATAGCCTTTACCGCCGGCCATGCGCAATTCGAAACAAAACCTTCCCTTTTTAGGATTCTGTTAAGGTAGAACAAGCATGTTATAGGCAGAATTCATTATTAAAACTGGCCAATTCGTTCTTATTTATTTCAAATTCCTCTAAAACTTTAATTTAATACTTATAACTATGAATGCAAGGTTGATTTTCAAATATGGGCAAATAACAGAAGAAGTCTTACCCTGACAACATCAGAGCAAAAATCCATAACGATAGTGAGCTTCGTATCCGTCTTCTTCTCGTCCTTATACACTTCAAGTATATACGTGCCATCGGCCTCTCTAACCATTGAGCAATAACGTTTCTTAAATGACTTTGAAGCAAGGTTACTGAATATTCTATCTGAGCCAATTTCAGGTCCCTTGAGCAGATGTCCCTCTTTCGTGCCAAGGTCCAATTTAGCCGCCTGACCCTCATTATCACTCTCAGTTTCGGCATCTATATCATACACCTCCTCCGGAAATTTATTTTCAATGGGCCTGTGTAAAGAACGATAGCGTTAATGGTCCTGATAACGGTACCAAGTAATATTTGATTTACTCATGCATTGTAAAAGACTTGTCGGTAAATGTTTCTGTGTAATGTATTCGGGACTTCCTTGCCGTGCCTTTTATGATATCATTCAATAACTCGAATGTATGATGGACCGATTACGACTTTATCGTGAACATCAATAAAATAAAAGTGAATGTGCTTTCAAAAATGTGACCTCTGATATTAGTAATATAGTTTAATTTAATTAATTTGAAGATGCAAGATATAATCAGCGAAAGTGTCTGTCGTCGCGACTGCTCATTATCATATTATTATGGCTTATTAAAATAGTATATTTGCTATTAAATCCTTTCATCCTATGTTGTGCAATCATAGGATGTGACTCATGCATGAGATATGAGCATAATGGCCTTGGGAGTGGAGTACGTAAGTTTTTGTTGGCCATACAACGTTCATTGCCATGTAAAGTATGTTAATTATCACTGCTAATGAGTACCACACTGTTTGTTACATTTTAACACATCACATGCAATCAGCTTTCATTTGTTCCAGATCAACCAATGATAATGAATGCATTTTTCAACAATAATATTATTCTAATGAAGTGTTTGCCATGAATATTATTACCGTTTTTATGTTGCATTCAGGATGCAAAATTGCTTTCTAATATCGACTTGTAAATACTCATTTAAATAGTGAAAACTAATTATTTGCATAATATATTTAGTAGTATTTTAATATTATTATTTAACATATTTTAATTAAACATTATCTAATGTTATTTACATGAATTTTATACTTGGGAAGTATTTAGATAAAAGCATGTCAGCATGATGACACATGTGCATACAAAACAAAGTAAACAACTATTTCCTTATCCTTTTATGTATTATAATTGCAGTAAAAACTGAATCAACTCTTCATTATATATACTTTAGACCTGCGAAATATTTTAATTTTGTCCTGTCTCTAAATCATATTTTTATGGTATAGGATGATGAATGAGATGATGGAACACCTGATGGTAAGCAATTAGCGCTGCTCTTGGACACTCGCAACACCTGAGAAGATACAAGAGCGTTGCCGACATTTTGGGGATTCGAAGATTCAGTATTGCGGATATGATGGGGGATCTCCAGAAGAAGGTCTAGCTCATTGTCTAGTGTAAGTTAATCCTTTACCTTAATATAAAACTTACCGTGGTAAATTGAGGTAGCTGCCTGCGTAGTTGCTGAACTTGTAATGTATGAGATTCCAACTGGAGGCATAACTGAGAAGTGCCTGCCTTGTGAGGAGAGGGCAGGAGGCAGCTGTCCTAACATCAGGAACGGCGGTTGTAACGGTCCTCCATCGACGCGGCAGAACAACACTCTGAAATGGATAAAAAAAGTCGAAAACATAATTGTCGCCATTTTTATGATAGACAGATCACCCGACAGCAAGCAATTGGCACCGCCTATATGGACACAGAGAAGTTATAAGCGTGTTGCCGGTATTTTAGGAATTGTGGATTTGGAGACATGTGAATGCAGGTTCTCACTCATAACTTAATTTTCGTTTACATAAAGGGAGAAATAGGACATCAAAAATATCTCATAAATTTTTGAGTAACCATAGATCAGTTCATACTCTTATTTTAATGTTAATATACATCCACACCTTCATGGAACAGCCGGAAGGTGGCAGCGCTGTGCTAGTCAGAGACAGTGAGTAGAGACATATAGTACTTATTTCTAAAGATATTTCCGTATATCGTTTAAGAGAAACATAAGAAACCAGCTCCTCTCAAACCCCAACAAGTGTTGTATTCATATTGGCAATAATTAATGACCTAAGTTAGAGCTAATTGCTGACTATAACATTCCAAGAATTTAGTACACAAATACCAATTTACTATTTGACAGAATTGGCATTCTGGTACCTATTTGAACAGTACTACTGTTAAGGGAATTCCTAAAGTTTTCATATTATATATGTAGGTAACGGCATATTAATTAATTGAACTTTTCCTGTTTATATTACTGCATGTTACCTTTAGTACAATAATACATGTTAATGCATTCAATCTCATAGATTCTTAATTTTAGGATACAAAGCTCAAAATATTTTATTTGTTGCATTACTATAAACAATATGTTTTAATTATTAATTTAGAATTATAGTACAAAATTAGCACTGACTAAAATACAAGAAACACTTAACTGTTCAATCCCCAAGCGGTCATCAGTGACCGCTCTGCGTTAACTCGATTATAGACCTTATTTCCGATATATAGAGACTACTTTTGTATGAACTAATTTTGGAAAATTTCGGTACAATATATATAAATAAATTAAATAAGACCAAATTAAAGAAAAGAAAGAGTAAATAAAATTGATTTAAGTAAGAATTTATAAGCAACTTACAGAAACATCATCGGTTGGGTACAGCAGTATATCTCGCAATGGATCATTCAAGAGAAGGGTCTTATTGTCTTGGATATACTGCTCAAAATCCAATGCCGTACATTTTTTGGCAATGATATTCTGAAAAAAATTTATATTATTAAAACCTACCTTATTCACTTCAAGTCAAGTCAAGTCAAAATCATTTATTTCAATAAGACCAGGATAGCACTTTTGAACGTCAACAACAAAAGGAGAATGGCAGGTTTGTATGGAAGTTTTGTACCGCTACAAAATTTTGTATTAGTCATTGTTTTAACCAAGTGAATAGTCTGAACGATAGATATTTTTATTATGAAGTTTAGAAAAAAATTACATATTTTTAGAACTTGGGGTTCAAAAGTTATTTCACTTTGAAAATGTGCAAAAGGTATGTTAAGGTGGTACCACACTTGACATTGCGTAGTCGCTTCATTTGTCCAAATATTTGTAGACTACGTACAAATGGCGTCCAAATAGTATCTCTATATGTAATGGCGTGCAAATATATAGCAAACAAAGAAGAATAAATCCTCCAAACATGTTCTTTTTTGGCCGAACACAACAAATACGCAACGTCAAGTGTAGAGCCACCGTAAGCAAAATATCTATTACAAATGACAGATGACAGTTAACTGAAAAATGTCAATGTGCTCTCATGTGGTTGTTTATTTACAAAAAACAAAAATCTAAAAATACTGCTCGCTACTCAAGTGACTATTACACTTTGTATTATTAGAAAGAAAGAAAAACCATTTATTTTGCTACGACACACAACAAGAATTTAGAAACCCAAAAAATAACCTATTGTGCGTCGCAGCGCAAAAGGCAATTAGGAATGATCCTGTTAATTCAGCAAGCATGATGCACCTATAGAGTTTTAAAGAGTATGCCTCACAATCTTTTTCATTTCTTAGGTGCCTACGAAAATGCAAATTCATAATGTAAGCGACTGTCATTGGGTAGAAGGCCTACATTTAGCAGTGGAAGTCTTGTGGCGGATATGATAAAACTAATGTCTCACTTCACCTTGAATCTTGCAGGTAGATAGTCTCAAGGGTCTCAAGTTAATTCGATTTAAACTTAGCTTAGCTCTTTGAGAAAGTATTTCTTCTGAAAACTGGTTGCTTAGCACACATGTAAGGATTAATTTCTAATAAGTAAGTCAAATTAGTAGAATCATCAACATTTTCATCATTAAGTCTATAAGTGGCCACTGCTGACCGAAGCCTCTTCTCGCATGGAGGTTTGAGCATTAATCACCATACTAGCTCAATGTGGGTTGGTAATTCAAACTTATAATAAGAAATTATAAGCCCATGTTTCCTAACAACAATATGGGCACACCAAAAATTACTGTATGAGACCATTCCGCTGTGTGAAATGCGCCCAGGCACACAAAACCTCTGACTGCCCTAAACGGGATAGAAATACACCAGCTCAATGTGCATTGTGCCAAGGTTCCCACCCGGCAAACTATAAAGGCTGCGAGGTGTATAGAGAAATACTTGCTAGGAAAATTAATAAATATGGTCACCGTAGAACCGATAGACATGCTATTGTAAAAGACACCACTGCCGAAACAAACCTTTCGAAAAATACTGTTCAACAATTACCCACCTATGAGCAAGGAAAAGAACCATATTCATATGCCAAAGCTACTAGAAACGAACCAAACAAAGCTACCACAGAACATACCACACCAAATGTAAGCCAAAATATAGCGGTATTAGAAAGTATCCTCAACAAACAAAATGAAAAATTTGACCTTATCCTACAACAAATGAGTACTCTAATGAGCCTCATAACTACGCTCATAACCAAACTACAAGGTTAACAGGCCTTAGGTTAAGACTGGCGACATGGAACATAAATGGACTCTCACCCAACAAAGATGAACTCGAGTTACTGATGGTTGAGCACAAACTGGACATAGTCTTGATATCTGAGGCTCACTGCACAGACAAATCTAATGTCAAAATCAAAGGGTTCTTGACTTACACTACAAACCATCCCGATGGTACAGGTCATGCGGGATCAGCTATAATTATTCGCAATAGTATTAAACACCATCTATTACCTGAATATAGAACGGAGCAAATACAGGCTACTACAGTTGGAATACAAGACAGATGTGGATATTTCAATGTCTCAGCTGTTTATTGCCCTCCAAAACATCGAATAAACTCTAACCTGTTCTCCCACTACTTCTCAAGTCTAGGCAATCGCTTCATTGCAGGAGGCGATTGGAACTCCAAACATATACATTGGGGTTCAAGACTGACAACAACCAGGGGAAGACAACTAAAGCTGAGCGCTGACATAAATCATCTAAGCACGATTGCTCCATCAGAACCTACAAACTGGCCAGCCGATCACAATCGAATCCCGGACGTGCTCGACTTTTTCGTAACAAAGGGACTGTCCAAACAGTACTTAAAGATAGACTCGTGTAATGATGGGTCATCCGATCACACCCAGTTCTGTTAACTATCAGTTCAACTGTAATTGAAGTCGAGAGACCCGTAACATTATATAACCAGCATACAGATTGGTCCTCCTTTAGGGAATACATTGAAAATAATCTTAATCTGAACATCCGACTAAAAGAGGCAGAGGAAATTGAAACAGCAGTGATGCAATCACTAACCTCATACAAGTCGCGGCCTGGAAAACCACGCCTAGTACTGGACATAAAAATCAGTCCACTAACGTACCACTAAAATAAAGGCCATGATCCAGGATAAACGCAGATTACGAAGAGTTTGGCAGCTAAGTCGGCACCCTCAAGATAAGACAGCCTTAATAAAGCTAGTGTACAATTGAGAGAAGCTTTAAAAAACATCAATGACCTAACTATGCAAGCAAAGCTAGAGTCTCTAACTGCTACTAAAGCTACTAACTACTCTCTATGGAAAATTACCGTTCCTGTGACAGACCTAACTTACCAAAATCCCCGCTAAGACAGGACAACAACTGGGCCAGAACAAATCAAGAAAAAGCGGACTTGTTCGCGAATCACCTAATAAGCGTCTTCAAACCAAATGATACCCAAGACCACTCAACAGAAGAATATGTTGATCTCATTCTTAAACAAGACCTTCAAATGGATCTCCCACCGAAACCTGTGTCGCCCGCAGAAGTCATAAAAATTATCAATCGACTAGATAGCAAAAAGTCACCTGGTTACGATCTAATAACAAAGGAAGTATTACTGCACTACCGAGAAAAGCTTTTGTATTCATCACCACCATCTTCAACGCTATGTTACGTATAGGGTACTTCCCGAATGCGTGGAAAGTTTCGCAAATAATCATGGTCTACAAGGCTGGCAAATTAATTACCGAAAAAACATCTTATCGCCCAATCAGTCTGCTACCTACTCTATCTAAGGTAGCGGAGAAGACAATGCTTCGAAGAATAATGCCAAGTCTCCTAGAACGCAAGGTGATACCTGACCATCAATTTGGCTTCAGAGAACGTCATGGTACAGTAGAACAAATCCACAGAGTATATGATGCCATAAGAAGATCCTTAGAACAGAAAGAATACTGCTCATCAGTGTTCTTAGATATCCAGCAGGCATTTGATAAGGTGTGGCACAAAGGATTGCTATGTAAGATAAAAGATAATATTTCTCACTCATACTTTCCAATATTTAAATCATATCTCGAGGACCGCATATTCCATGTAAAAGTGGGAGATGCCTATTCGAATTTCCATAAAATTGAAGCCGGGGTGCCACAAGGATCAGTTCTCGGACCTCTACTCTACACACTTTACACAGCTGACTTACCATTAACGCCAGGGATAACTACAGCCACATTTGCAGATGACACCGCTATATTAGCGAGCGCTAAAGATCCAAAAGTGGCATCTGAAAAACTGCAGATTGGTCTTAATAAAGTAGATGAGTGGCTGCAAAAGTGGAAAATAAAGGCTAGCGCTACAAAGTCAGTGCAAGTAACATTTTCTCTTAGAAAAGGAAACTGCCCACCTGTAAAATTGGGCCACTGCACTCTACCTCACAGTGATCATGTAAAATATCTTGGCCTACACATTGATCGTAGATTAACCTGGAAGCAACACATCAAATGTAAAAAGCAGGAGCTCCAGTTAAAATACAACAGTCTTTACTGGATGCTGGGAAGGAATTCAAGGCTCTCCCTAGACAACAAACTACTAATCTACAAAGTAATCTTGAAACCCATTTGGACGTATGGCCTGCAACTATGGGGCAGCGCAAGCGATTCTAATATAGAAATTCTCCAACGCCAACAGAACAAAATCTTGAGAACCATCGCGGAAGTACCATGGTACATAACCAACAATGAATTACACAATCACCTTGAAATGAGAACAATCAAGGAAGAAATTAGGAGCTTTGCAGCTAAATACAAAGAACGGTTAACCCGACATGCTAACGAACTCGCTCGCCAACTCACCATGAACCAGTATGTGAAACGTTTAAAACGACACCACATCCTAGAACTCGAAGACAGACAGTAGGTCTAGGCAGCAGATGAGTAGAGCTTCCAATGGGAAGTCACTCCGCATGACAGATCGCACAGAAGATTTGCTCATAGCCTTGGGGCTGATTGCAAATGTATTTGGAAAAAAAAAAAAAAAAAAAAAATGTTTCCTAACAATGTTTTCCTTCACCATTCGTCAGCGGTGTCTTTGTACTTTCTTAGATTATTGAATATACCAATAACTCGGAAAAATGACACATTGGACAAAAGGTACTTTGCCGTTGGTAGGTTTCGAACCCGCACTCTCATGCATGAGAAGCGGGCTTCTTAAACCTCTGGGCCACCACATTACAACTAAAGAAAATGTAAAATGAAAATGAACATTTTTGGTATAAAACTAAAGCTATCTAAATTAAATGTGGCATTTTTTTTATAGATTGATTCTTAAAATCACTTTTATCAAGATGGAATATATAGTTACTTACTAGGTTAAAATAAAACAAATGTATTATTTTGAAATACTTTTATTTCATTGTATTCAGGTTGTTTCTAGGAGCACTTCATCTAAAAAGAGAACAGGCCGTGTCATAGGTACAGCAGACATCAATTGCTGATATCTGTAAACAAGTAAGATAACTGTAAATAAAGTAAACAAAAGTACATTTTTTTCCTTTAGTTTTATATGTTATAATAATATGTCTGATTCCCTATCTTAAAATGGAAAAGATAAAAATAAATATTTGATTACATTACTTGATTTTATAACATTTATTATAGTTATTCGTATAACACAGATCATAGAAGCTCAAACAGCATGCTAATTAATAAATTATAATTATAACATGAGTATAAACCTATTAGAAACCGCTTATATACTCCACATAGATACATAATTATGTAGGTACATTATATTGAGAATGCATACCTGTTGAAGCTTTGAGAGCCGAACAACATCATCCGGCCTCATCTGTTCTACAAATGGCAATGTTAAAGTGAGACTTAGTCCATGTTTACATAACACATTACTTCCTGATAGTGAACACTGAGGTGGTATGTCAGGTTGTGGTTTTATAGTTTCGACTCTTGTACGGTCTCTCAGTCAGTATGGAACATGATCTTCATCATGGGAAGTAAGCTAAAATAAGTAATATTATTAGAATATGATATTGACTTTAGATTACACTGTATATAGATAAGAGTATGGTTAAATTATGCTTTATTACCTCTTGTGGCTGAATCCAATCAAATACTATATGAGCCAGTCTTTACTCCTGTTTGTTGGCGCCTTCAATTAAAACCCTGCGTGACCTTATCATTGCAATGAATCACCCATATACGACACAAACATGCCAGTGACCAATTTGTTTGCTGGACATACTTTCAGCAACATCCCGATACATTGCTAATTGCCAGCAAGCATTGCAAATATGGTCGGTAGGAGAGATCTAGAATAAAAAGAATAAAATGATACATTATGGGTAGATAACACTATGCGCCTTCTTGTATTCAGGCAACATGGTGACTTTCGATATGTTATGGGTAAACTAGGTACTTACATCTCTAGGATAAGTCCACATTGGGATATTGTTGACCACGTCTAATCTTCACTCTCATTTTCTAGAGCAGTCTCATGTGCGACAAACTCTGAATGCAATTAATACACTGTAAATTCATCATCGCGACAAATAACAACACACTATGCACAAAATAATGTAAATAAGTGTCTTTTCGCAATTGTCACAACAATGATGCCAATAACACCAATTTGGGCTACGGAGGAACGGTTGCCAAACTCAACGTATCACCAGATGAATAAAATAACTTCAAATTCAACAAACACATCATAACATCGCATTTGAAACAAACAGCAATGCGCCAGTATTGACAAATTAATTGTCAATGTCATCAAGACAAATGCCAGTTCAACATTGCCATATTCAAGTTTGTTAAAATGTTAATTATCATTAATAATCCATGTAGACGTAGATTTAGATTGGATGTAGATTTTTATATTTACTTATAAAAATGTTTGAAATGGAAAGGAAAATATTTCATTGATAGATATTAAAATAAATGAGTTTATGAAATAGCGAAATTCAATATGCTCTGATTTCATTTTTACGCATGGCAACTTTGTAAACGTCAATCGCGATTCGTTTTACGTATAGTGGATTGCTTTTTATCATTATTGAATTACAGTTTTTCTAGGGTTTCCCAAGTTCTAAAAATCTATTAAATATGCTAACATAACGTACTTAGGAGATTCTATAATGACCCAATTTTTTAATGACAAATCTTTTTTTAGCGAAGCGGTACAAAATCTGCCGTTCTCCTTTAGAAGTGAAGCTAGTTGCTCATTCCAACATGTAGATTCCTATGGAGAAGAACGAGCAAGAAACTCCATAGGTTAGGTACTCTTTTTCAATCAGGTTTACAATACAATTATCTAGTTACATAGTTTTATTGGTGAGAACAATGCAACACCTAAATCCAGTCAAAGAGACTGAAAAAGAAAATAACCTTGAGGATAATAAAATGATATAGTCTGGAGCTGACCAGTTCCAATCGACGGTACCCGTTCATGAAAATTTGGCGTACTTAACTTCATAATAAAGTTATAATAACTTTAAATCACAATATTAAAATAAGGGGCAGTTGGATTTATTCTACTACTGCCTAGTTTTAGTTTTGATTGACACATAGATATGGAAAATATATCAAATTATAAATTATCTAATAAGACTCACGGAAACTTAACTAGAAAGGGTCCAACAGGACCTCAGAATAAATAATTTGCAAACCTGTTGCTTTGTACAATTTGTAAATTGATGCCTAAATACTTTGAGAATGAATCTGTGTGAACATCTGTGCTCTATCTAAAAATGAACAGTTCATGTTCATTTTTCTTCATAAATTACATTATAATAAGGTAAAAATTAGTTATATTTTTATACTGATCTTATAAGAATCTACCTACTGATTAGTTTCAAATAAAAAATGAAATGGCATTCTAATATGTTTAGTTAGTATAATATGAACTCAATGTCGTTCCTTCGATGTTTACAATATCCGGCGGTAAATGTTATGTAAATATTGCATGCAAGACAGCCAGACAAGGTAATAAATTAAATAGATTGCCAATATTCAGCATTTACCACTTAAATCTTTAATTAATAATGACTTTAATGCAAATATATACTGATGGCACTTAAACAGCATTGGCATGGAATAGAATAATATACTTTCATGTAATTAGAAATTTCTAACGCAAATAGAAAGTAAAGACAATTTTCCAATCAGAACCAATAGACTTCAGTATGGAAAAATGAAATACGCTTTTTTATTGGCAAGCACTCGGCAAATTTAGTCTTACTTATATACATTCAATTAACTAAAAATATTCCTTACAATGCATGTTACTTGTATTATTTACCTCATATTCTGCGCCGTTCTTTTTCACCTTAGAATTCACTGGAGGCATGGTGGATAAACTTATAACACACAATATCTAAAAACAATCACACGTATACACTTTGAGTACCACATGTATTTATATTTTTTGAAAAATCAATCATTTTTCATTTACAAAGTGCCGAAAACCGCAATACGAACGAAGAAGGAAGAAGCGACACACCGAAATACGAACAAAAGTGACAGTATGACAGCCAGCCTTCGACATGCGACCAGTGTTGCCAGCGCGGCGTGTCAATATTTTGTTAATGTGGCTTTGGAAAAAAATGTTAAAAATATTTTTTTACTACAATATAGAATCTACCCCTTTTCTAAACTTATATTCATCCCGATCCCGTCAGCCGACGTGATTGAGTAACAAATACACAAATGTTACACAAACTTTCTCATTTATAATATTAGAAGAATAGCAGCCAGACTGACACTTTGAAAACTGAACGAGAAAGCGGGAATTGGAATACCTAGTTAAATTAACTAACTAGCTCGTGAGCTGCGCGACGTCGCCGCGACCGCGCACGCTGCTCATGAGGAAGAACCCCTCTGTGGTTCGAAACTAGTAGACCTTTTCTCAGTATATTCACGTGAGTAACCCGCGATTTTAGTTAATTTAGTATGTCTCACGATAGTTATTATACCTACTTAAATCCTGCCTGCCTCGTTGGCCGAGTGGTCGCAAGTGCGACAGGGGTCTCGGGTTCGATTCCCGGGTCGGGCAAAGTATTACTCGGTTTTAAAAAAATCTCAGTAGTAGCAAAGTCTGGAATTGTGCCCGGTATATGACAATAGGCTCACCCTCTATTATATGGGACTCATAACATAAATAGTGAAAAGTGGGTGTAACATTGTACAGTGGCATAATGTGCACCTCTGCCTACCCCTTCGGGGATAAAAGGCGTGATGTTATGTTATGTATCCTACAGGAGTTTTCTTTATAGTTTTGTTATTCTCCACGGACTTTTGTCCGTGCCCTTTTCATTCAATTACATTTTCTTTTTTATTTTCGAGTCGACTTTTGATGTCAGGATTAAATATTCATATGACATAGACAAAGGTAAAAATAAAATACTATAAATGCAAGTAATATTTTGTTTTTAATAATAATTAATATTAAAAATAACATTACACAGAAGAGAACATACATTTTCTTTTCCATGAGTTAAATCAACAAACAAAATTAACAGTTTTCAAAATCCCAATGAGCTTTGGCAGTTTCTTTGCAGCATTTTGGCCAACAACATTCATTACTTTATTTAGTTGACTTAGGAGTGAGTGAGTAAGGAGAAATCTTTCATTTTGATATGGAGTCATAATAAATTCTTCCTGAAACAGAAAACAATTTAATTAACAACCCGAATAGATAACTTTTTTAATGTCTCTGGTATGGTAATCAAACATGACTTTTCAACAGGGTGGGTGAAGCCATGATTTGTATGGTATGTTTTTAAAATTATTATGAAAAGTTATGAGTTCTGTTACTGTTGGTATTACCACTGCAAAAACTCTTTATCAGATTTTGATGAAAACTATGATATGAATTTAAGCTGTCACCTCCACTTCAATGTTCATGTAATACTGATACCAGGATTGATCACTAGCAATATTACAAGTACCGACATTTTCATTATTACAGTTTCATTTTGGAAACAATCAGAACACAATTTTAGGCAAAACAATATTTTTTTCTTTACATTTTGAAAGATTTTTCTCTATTTCAAAAAAATATTGAGTTACTCACCTTCGATTTTTTGTTTTTTTTTTCTTATGTATTGAAAACGATTTATTAATTAAGCAATCATATTAAGTATCTTCTTTTAGCTAATTAGCATGCTCTTGTAAGGCAGTATTTATCGATTCTCTATGCATTGCAAGGGCACAAGGTCAATTATGATGAGTCGTGGGGTGTAACACACACCTTTTTGATTACTTCATTTATCCTTGATTTTAACTCTTCTTGTTTTTCTAAAGACAGTTCTACACTTACAATGTAATAAAGTTCTTTGAAGAACTTTCTAACCTTTTTATCACTAAATTCTTCATTATTTTCCAAGTCATTACTTGTACTTGAAGTCTGTTTAATTTTTTGCTCTACATTATTTATCAGATTTGAACTTTCTGGCGGTGTATCTTTTTCGCAAGCATCATCTTCATTTATTGTACTTTCAACCTCCATTCTTTCATCTATACTGTTAACTATAATATTTTCTTCCTTAACATCATCATCCAGCATAATTTCGCTATGTAAGAATTTCATGGCCTTCTTCTTATTTTCTTCTAATACACTATCTTTGTTTACTGGACTTTGAATGTCCATAGACACATTTATAGAGGCTTCTTCTTCAATATTTTCTTCCTTAATATCGCCTGGCAGTATAATTTCACTGTGTAAATCTATAGGATTCCATTTCCTTTTTTCGCAAGGATCATCTTCATTTATTGTACTTTCAATCTCCATTCTTTCATCTATACTGTTAACTATAATATTTTCTTCCTTAACATCATCATCCAGCATAATTTCGCTATGTAAGAATTTTATGGCCTTCTTCTTATTTTCTTCTAATACACCGTCTTTGTTTACTGGACTTTGAACTTCCATAGATACATTTATAGAGGCTTCTTCTTCAGTATTTTCTTCCTTAATATCGTCTGGCAGTATAATTTCACTGTGTAAATCTATAGGATTCCCTTTACTTTTTTCGCATGCATCATCTTCTTTTACAGAGTTACCTTCCCATGCATTATCTTTATTTATTGTGTTTTCAACTTCCTTAGTTTCATTTGCAGTGGCTTCTTCAATTTCTTCCTTAATGTCATCTTTCAGTATAACTTCACTATGTAAGTTCATAGACATCCTTTTCCATTGTTCGCATACATCGTCTCTATTTATTTCGTTTTCATCTAGAGTGTTAGTTTCAATATTCTCTTTCTTAATGTCATGTGTTAGTATAACTTCACTATGTAAGTTTATACTTTCTAGTGGTTTCTTTTCTTTCCATGCATCATATTCATTTATTGTTCTTTCATTTATAATTTTACCTACCCATACATCATCTTTGTTTTTCCTGCTTTCAACTTCCATAGCTTCGTTTGTAGTGGCATCTTCGATTTGTTCTTCATTATTATCATCTTCCAATATAATAACTTCACTATGTTTATTTAAAAGTCTCTTTAAATTATGTAATGGTATATTGTCTTCATAATCCTCATCTGTATTTATTGTGCTTTCAAGTCCCATACTTTCATTTGTATTAGTATCCATGATATTTTCTTCTATAATAATATCATCTTTCAGCATCACTTCTCTATGTAATAATGGTATGGCCTTCTTTTTATTTTCTAAAATGCAGTTTTTTTTCCTAGCACCATATTTGTCTATTGTCCTTTTAAATACTGTCAAATATTCAATGTTTTCTTCTGAATTATTATTTTTACCTAGTTTATTATTAAGTGTATTAGAATTGTCATTGATAACTTCACCTAATTTGTAGTTTATCAGGTTTTGGATTGTTCCTTCCCATACATAATCTTTATTTATTGTGCTTCCAACTGCCATAGTTTCATTTGTAATGGCATCTTCGTCATTTTGTTCTGTAGCATCATCATTTGTTACTTTACTGTCTGAGTTTACTGCAGTACCTTCAATGTTTTCTTCTGAATCTGAATCTATTGTTATAACAGTATTAGTGTTCTTGTTATTTTTATTAAATGTATTAGTATTACCATTGATAAATTCATTTAATTTGTAGTTTATCATATTTTGGATTGTTCTTTGTAAGTAATAAATATCTTCATCTTCATTATTTATGACATCCTTTTTCTCTGTTTCTCGTTTTGATAACATCTCTTTAACTTGATCATGTGTAATTATTTTACATTTTGACCGATTTTTTTGTGAATGCAATACCTTGCCATGTTCTATTTTGTGAACTAAGTTGTTACCCCACTTATTTATAGATCCAGGCAGATCAGCATCAGTGACTGACAAACAATAGTTGTTTAAAAATTTAAGAGATCCATCAAAATATTTTTGTACACTTGGGTTGTTTAAAATATCTTCTTGTGTTATTTTACCAGATTGTAGTAAGATTAGTAACTTTGTATACTTATTCCTTATCCGAGACCAGTCAGTACTACACATGGATCCTGAAAAAAAAAATGAAAATGTCATGTAATATACCTACACCATCAATGATTTAATGACTCTTGTTTAATTCACTGTAGGTTTTATCTTCATATTTTACGTAAAATTCCAACTAAATTAGTTGCTCTCAATTCCAATTTGTAGCTATACTCGGAATTTTAATTCGATTCCAGATTTGACAATTTCAGTGTGGCAACGTTATGACAAGTACTAAATAGTGACTTTGTGAAATTATTCGATATGGAAATGCAATATTTCTGGATCGATTCTTCTCGTTTATAATAATTATAATTTTACTCTCGTGAACTAAGTATATCAGGAAATTAAATATTTCTGAACCGATAATTTAGTTTTGATGATTAATTAACGACCTGAGACGTTTCTTTTATAATTGTGTGTGAAATAAATAAAAAAATGTAATCATGAAGGAACATGACAAATAAAACAGATAGATGTATTATGGTAATAAGTTATTTTATAAATTGTCGCCGTCATCGCTATCGCTATCCTGTCACTTTCTGTAACATTTATTATAAAACACACACACTGATTGTTTATCGATTTTTGTGTGCATCACTACACTATTATATGTGGTATCATTATTTCACAAAATGACAGTAGCTATTGTCAAATCTGGAATCTAATTAAAATTCTGACTATAGGTGCTCATTCCAAAATGTAGATTTGAATGGACAAGAACAAGCAAGTAACTCCATTCATTACTCTTCTGTGCCAACTTAGACTGAGATACGAAGAAAATAGAAGTAGGGCAGGATATTACAATTTAATACTTTTGAGTGCCGTTGGTTGGTTGGTTGGTGGTGCCGCGGTCGATATTCACCGCGTTGGCAGAGAACTATAAACATAGTAAACAAACTTACTTGATAAACACATTTTTTCAGAAATTGCCCTCCAGTTACAGAAAGGCTTTTTAGCTGCTTTATTTAGGTCTTCAGAAACAACATGGGGATAATATTTTTTCACTTCATGTATTAAAGCTGCTTGTTGAGGAGACCATCCATGACCATTGGATGATGACGCTTCGGGATTCGCTGTGTTTTTATGTTTTGATGACGACATTTTCTTTCTTTATTATTATCACATCCAGTTTCTTTTTGTCCTTAATATAGTGCAATGTTTTCGTCCGATCAACACAACTTTTTGACAGAAAAAAAACATGACATTCGAATGTGTGACCAGGTTATTAAGAAATAGGTGTGACCAGTTTAGTGACCGTATACTGCACAATATTACAATACATTCTGTTATTTATATTTTTTGTGAATATTTTCAATAATAGATGTAATTTATTTATTTTCAATAATAGGTGAATACTGAATACTGGACAAATATTTTCTAAGTTTGACATTTGTATTTTTAAACTGTCGGTAAGAGCTAACCTTAACCATGCACTCACTAGATGGCACTATTATTGCGTGAGGTATTCAATCAATCACAACAGCAATCAATTTACTACCAAACGTTAAACCTTATTTAGTTAGTACCTACCTTCTCTTTCAGAATAAGGGTTTTTTTTAAGGGGGGAAAATCATCGAATGACTGCTCCCACCTGGGTGAGGCGGAAGGGAGTGTCAGAGTCTTACTGACTAAAAACCACCCCGTTCCTTCTCCTGCACGTCGAGCCGGAGCCCCGGTTACCCGTTAGGTTCTCCGCGACTTCAGAATAAGGGTAAGAAGTGGTCGACCTGTAATACCTATATGTGTATTTTCGAAACCCAGACTATGACTGACTTTCATTTAAACCTTTTCAGTAGTTTTTTGCAGAAAATAGTAATATTACAGACTGCCTCGTTGGCCGAATGGTCGCAAGTGCGACTGCCGGGCAAGGGCCCGTCGTCGCGGCGGTCTTGGGTTCGATTCCCGGGTCGGGTAAAGTATTACTGGGTTTTAAAAAAAATCTCAGTAGTAGCACGGAGTCTGGAATTGTGCCCGGTATATATGGCAATAGGCTCACCCCCTATTACATGGGACTCATAACATAAATAGTGAAAAGTGGGTGTTACATTTATTCATTTTACAACAGATTTCACAGTAATACATGGAAATTCTCCCGATTTTTCTACCGATTTCACATTTTTAAGCTGGCAACCTTTTTCACGTATGTTAATATTACGGGGTAGCCCTCAATAGTATGGAACAAATCAGAACAAATGCAAACTCAGATCAAGTAAATTTGTTTAAATGCGTTTCCATTGAACAATCTATACATAATTATAATAAAATCGTAGAAAAGTCAGAACTGTACTTTGAATATATTTTTTTTAAATACGAGAGGCGTGGTCTACAATCGATACCGAAGCCATGTCCATGTATCATATGTATGCCCGGGATGATCTCAAAAAGTACTGCATGTATTTACTTCAAATTTTGCATGAATAATAGGTACTAACAAGTCGGATCAACAGCTACATATTATCACGTTATCATCTACGGGGGAGAAGCCCTATACTAGGAACTGAATCAACTCTGGCGACATTCGTTACCGTAGAAAACTAATTCCAAAGCCTAAATTCTGCCATTCATTATTCTACGCGGACGAAGTCGCGGGCAACAGCTAGTAACCAAATGAAAAGTTTACAGACACAATTGATCCAAAATATGTTAAAGTTGGTAAAACTGCCTGGATAGTTCCTGCGAGTAGGCTCTTTCTCAATATTGTTCACAGTAATGATTTCCAGGAAATTCATACAGAGTGGCGCATTTTAAGAAACTGTGAACTAATCAAAACATTTCCTAATGATGTAGGTAAGTAGAATTATTTTAGAATGAAGTAAGTTTATTAAAGTCAAATGTTTCCATTGTTATCTAATTTCATATTTAATATTTTATTACTTCGCCATTCATCCGGTAACGTTGATCGCATACCTACTTATTTTCACATACATATTATTCTTTTGAATTCGCATACTTATTTTCACATACATTCAAAACGACTTAATTGTTATGATTTTGAAATTAATTTCAAGATTACCTCGGCAATGGCTAAAGAATATTGGTACAATAATAAATTATTATACTTAAGTGTGATTGTTATAAATTAGTCTGTACTTAAGTTTTTTTAACAAATAAACGAATTGGTTTGAATATTGTGTTTTTTTTTCAAATACATACCGATTTTGGGTAGAAATATACCGATTTTAGCTAGCAATTCTACCGATCTCGTCCTATGACGTTCGAGACCACTGGTCGAAGCCGAGCCGTAGGTAGGTGGAGCACTCAACGCAGCAGTATCTATACCTAGTATAAACGGGTAGGTTTAAAAAACAAACAAACACAGTCTTTATAATAACACTTTATTTTTATACAACTTTTATTAGGTATTTATCTTGTATCCAGAATAGAATATTATGTGAATTTTGATCAATAAATGGTTTTTTACTTAGTTATTGTTCTTTTTTAAATAAATAGGTACAAAAATTGTTATTAATTTATTTTCCCGCGGCTCCATCATCATTTAGCCTGAATAATTATGTGATTTAGGTAGGATAATCATTAGCATAGTTTTGTTTAGGGATAAAAGAATTAATGAAAATTATGAAAAACAAAAAAAAATCGAAACCGACATGAGAACAACAGTACCAAATTGGTAGGTAAATCAAAAACACTTTTTCTGCTCAATTTGAAGGGGGGCTGCCAAACCCCAGATTAAAGAGTGTGAAGCGTGAGGCAACTTATTTTTAGCTATTGCCTTCAATCCTCACACTTATCAATTGGCTGATATTATGCGTAAAGGCGTTATTTAGGTACAGTATTATCCATACAATATTTTGAAATCTACTACAATAGGTAATGATATTTTACTCTCATCATCAACAGCCTATAAATGCCCACTGCTGAGCAAAGCCTCTTCTCACACGGAGAAGGTTAGAGCATTTATCACCACGCTTGCTCAATGCGGGTTGGCGATTTCAAACTTATAATTAGAAATAAATTATAAGTCCAGGTTTCCTCACGATGTTTTTCCTTCACCGTGTGTCAGTGGTGTCTAAATAATCTTAGAAAGTACATATAACTCGGAAAAAGTCACATTGGTACTTGCCGTTGGTAGGTTTCGAACCCGCACCCTCATGCATGAGAAGTGGGCGTCTTAAACCTCCGGGCCACCACGACGATATTTTACTCTATATTTTTATAATCATTTAGGGCAAATCGTCTTGCCGCGGGAAAGCAGTCCTAGCCACAATTGAAAATAATGATTACTACTTAATCAATTATACTGAGAGCCTTTCATTTTTATTTATTATGTAGGTACCTTTGTAGGTACTACAGTTGCACCGTAACGTCCACTGGCGGGCAACCTAACATTCGACAAACTTATATTTGCGTTTGGTATAGTAATTATGTCTAGGGATTGAGGCGCACGATGAAGTAGGGATGGCGATTCTTACTGAAAAGAATAGATTTTTAAATCGATTCGATTCGTGACCTGATGAATCGGTCCACAAAAAAATTGAGGTCTAAAAGATTAGTTTACAAAAAATAGTACTTAAATATCAATTAAATCTTTAAAAAACATGCGAAATATTAGAATTGACTTGATCTTTTAATCAGTAAAATCAGGGAATTCAATATTAAAAATTATTTTTATTACCTTGTGATGATGCAATGTAAAATCAATCACAGTACAGAGATACAATAAGTCAAAATTTATAAACGTAACTTTTTTATTGATGAGGAGTGAGACGAAGGAGACTAACCATACAGCCGTCTCGCAAGTTTTTGAGTAAGCTGCAGCACTCTTGTAAAACGGGTCTTCAACTAATTATAAGTATGATTTATACCAAGTAAAAAAAAACGTATCACGATCATAAGATGTCTGAGATCGATTCACAAGATCGATTCAATGCATAGAATCGATTAAAAAGATTTTTTACCCCATAAGATCGATTCTTCGATTAATCGATCTCAGATCGCCATCCCTACGATGTACAGTGTTTTTTAGTAGAAGTAGTATAGGCTTATACTTTTTCGGGATTGAAAATTGACCTCTCTACAGATCATTTCAGATTCAGATCAGTCAATCATCTGATAGACTTGAAGATTTGGTACGAGTTTGGTCTGCTTCAATAAACCAACCAATTAGAGCGCTGAATGCGGTAACGTTTCGATTTCAATAAATGTAAAGCAAACTCGTGTAAAACCTGTATATTAAAATTAAAATAAAATAGTTAACAAACAAGCCACGACATGCTTGTTTGTTTCTGCCTTTAGACACTGTATTTCTAAAACTTGAACTGTTACTCAAATATTCACAAAATTTAAAAACATAGTCTAGGACTAGGATAAATGTCTAACTACAAAATATGTATTACTAAATGCTTAATTATAACGATCGTTGTAAACACACACATGTATATTTTATCGACAGATACAAATTTCAGTCAACACCTACTATTATAGGTACTTTATGTAGGTACATTTTAGCAATGAAACATTGTTTCCTATCGGTAGGCGTTTGTTTTTCGTAAAAATCTATCAATACGAAAGTGGACAAGTTCAGATTGTTTATTAAATACATAAAACTATTATGGTATACATAAATTGTTCTATCTTCTTACATTAGGTACGTACTTTTATTTTTGGCATATGGCACACAGATTAACTTATCAACTAAGATATCCGTTAAATACACAACACAATTTAAATATCATAGAGACGTACAATCAACCTCTATAGCAAGTGAAAGTTCGTAGATGTACAATAGCTATTATTATTATGAAAAATATCACACTTAGGTAGGTAATTGAGTATTGACTCTATCGAAGTTACATTCCCGGCTTCATCGAAGTCACTTCCAACGTGTCAACCAAACTCGGAGTTAACACTGAAACTGTGAGAAGTCGCTAGTCTGTGAACGGAATGTGCAGGAGAGAGCCGAGGGCGAGGAGCGCGCCACGTACTGCGAGGCCGGCCGCCGCGCCGGCTGTCAGGTGTACTCCTCGTCCTCGTCCTCGTCCTCGCTCGACTCGAACGCGGCCTCCATCTCGGCGTGATCCTCAGGCGTCGGCAATGACAGCTTCAGGTAGTCTACTGGCAACTGCTCCTTCGGAATCAAGTATCCTGTGGCGTCTTGTGGAGGAGGCGGAGGTCGCGGTAGTCGCACCTGCATTGCCTGACCACCCGCTGCTGCATCCTCTAATTTTCTACATATTTCATCGAAACCTATTCTATCTCGAGGATCAGCCTTCCAACATGCACGCATTAAGTCACCAGCGAAGCGGGGACAGTCCTCGGGTGGCACTAGCACTATACCTCTTAAAATTAATTTGGTAGCGCCGTCGTTGTTTTGCCCATAGAATGGTTGTTTGCCTCTGCTGTATATCTCCCACAGCACTACGCCGTACGACCATACGTCGGACTCGTGCGTGAACCGAGCGTATACAATACTTTCCGGGGACATCCACCGTACGGGCATGGGTCGTTCGCCGCCCATTTTATAGTAATCACAAGTGTAAACATCTCGTGACATACCAAAGTCTGCTATTTTCACTGTGAGATTTGCACCAACGAGACAATTCCTCGCCGCAAGATCTCGATGAACGAATCTCCGTGAAGCGAGGTACTGCATACCTCGTGCTATCTGCAGTGCTACATGTAGTAAAGCATGTTCATCTAGTATTGGCCCCGGCCTGCCTCCTCCGCGGGAGCCTCTTAGCACGCCGGCCAGGTCGCCCCACTCCATGTATTCGAAAACCATCCAGGGGCTTGCATTGATGTCATCTGCAAAATGAAATTATGTAAGCACATGGTATAACACTAAATATTTGTCTTTCTGCAATCATTCAAATTGTAAATCAAAGATACCTTACCTCTGTATACAACTCCAACTAGAGCAAGGATATTGGGATGCCTAAATGCAGACATTATGGAGACTTCCCTCACAAAGTCTTCTTCGGCATTGCGACCTGCACTTTCCTTTAGTACTTTAATGGCCACTACTTGTTCGTCAGTGGTAGTTCTAAGAAGTCCTGTAACAAAGTTAACTTGTTGAACACTTTGAACATCACAATAATTGATTTGTAAAATGAATACCCATTTATGATGAAACCTACCTTTGTGGACTTTGCCAAAGCATCCTTCACCAACCTCTTCGAGGAATGTAAGGGCGTTTCTGTCTAGAAGTTGGACCTGGGACTTGTTGGTATCATCAGTGTCCATCACTCCTGGAGTGCCTGGCACCGGCACGTTGCCCGCTCCGTAGACTCCATACTGCGGGTTCGTTATATACCTTTCAGCAAGCAGAGGCTCTCCCGGTCGCACACGCTATAAAAAACCAAGCTTATACATTTTTACTTGCATTTATTTTCAATACTGTGTGCAACAGGAAATTATGAGAAATAAAGCAATCAGTAAGCGACATCCTCTAAAAGATTATTAAATTATGTATACAATAGTGATCATGCGAGGTTTGCGGTTGCCAATAAATTAAAGGCCATAAATCATTCAAGCTGGCAGGACGTATTAGATCTTGCTAGAATTAGTACTTACAGGTTGTGTTTTCCCATCGACACGACACATTCTCTTTTTGAGGTACAGTAGGATGATGGAGACGAGTAATATTAAAGTTACGGCCCCTGAAACTGTGACGGCTATTAAAGTACCCACGCCGGCACTCATACCCGTATCTATTAGTGAGCCGTTCCCAGTCGTAGATTCTGCGAATATTTCTCCACTGCTTGAAGATTTGGATACCTGAAGCAAAAACATATAATTGAACTGCTAGTTTATTAGCTCAGCTCTGCTTTACTCCTTTCTATTAAAATTGCGTTTTTGCATTTTATACGAAGATATCATTAGGCTCAGCGACGATTAAAAACAAAATTAAATAAAATACGAATTTGTTAACATTATAGGTTCTGGTTTTTATAAGCAGTTCTGGAATAAGCACTATGAAATTTAATTTAAAAGAAAATTAACCAGAATTCTTCAAGACAAAAGAATAACCTCTTCTTACTTAATACAACATGTTATAAATGTTTTCGTTGACACGAAAAAGGGTGAAACAACAACATTAAAGTTCGTACGTAATCAAAGTACTCTCAGAATTTGGGTGACATCGGTTTTATCATGGCTGACCTATCATGAATATTTATCAGTACCTAACTACGGAAAAACACTGATTTCGTTTTCCATCCCATGTAGTTACCTACTACATTTTAGTAGGCTTGTTCAAAATCAATACTTTTATTGATAAAGTTCATGGCTTGACTTGTTATTCATTTACTTTGCTGTTTTTATTTTGCTTTTGTTTCTGTGTCTATGTATGATTGGGAGACATCGGATTACACACAATCAAGTCATATTTTTCATTTTCTGTCATCCAAATGATTGTGCATCCTGCATTATAGGATTTGAGTTAACTCTATCTCTATGTAATCAGGTTTTAGTAGACTTTTCGTAAACATTTTATCTATAGACTAATATTTTTAATCAGGTTCGCAATCAGTGCGGTTGGACAGCGCGATAAGCCGATAAAAGAGGTTTTAATTAAGATGGATGTTCTCACTTGTGCGGTGGGCGCTGACGACAGGTACCGTGTGTCTGAGGCATTCGACGGTCTCGGAGGGATCACATTCAATATGGGCTTCAGAGTCACGGGAACTGGAATTAATAGACACAGTTTACTGTTATACCTTCACTGACACACATAGGTATGTTAGCAAGTCGAACTTAATATCTACATTGCTATCTACACCTTATTTAATTTTGTTTATATACAAATTACTTTAATAAGGAACACTGCAATAAATAATTAATGAACAACTTTGAGCAATAAGATACTTTGATATGGCCCATATTCGGATTATTCGATTACAAACATACAAATCAAAACAAAAGTTCAATAAACTCTGAGTAACAAATTACGATCAATCAAGCATTGTGGAGTGTGGGAGTTATTAATAAACGTAAGATGGTAAGATCACCTGTGCTTCTGGGGCATTTGAAGTCTTCGGTAGCGGGCAGACCGTTGGAAGTGCAGCGGCAGTAGTGCGTGGTACTGTTGTACGGCATGCACGCTGCTTCCTTGCCGCATGACTGCAGGCCGCAAGTGCCCGGGAAATATATTGCTGAAAAAAAACCGTAGCAAATCAATATTCAAGGTTTTAATCTCGGAAATGTTTGAAAAAACTACTAAACGGATTCGAGTAACATTTTGACGGAAGGATACATTATAATCTCTCGCTCGCTCCTCTTCCAGATTTCATTTCACTACATAGTATAAAACAAAGTCGCTATCCGCCGTCTATCGGTCCATATGTAGGTATGCTTAGATCTTTAAAACAACGCAACGGATTTTGATGCGGTTTTTTTAATAGATAGAGTGTTTCTTAAGGAAGTTTTATATGTATATATAATACATATATTTTGCACCCGAGCGAAGCCGGGGCGGGTCGCTGGTAGATAATAATCAAAACTGTCTTCATATTTAGATGTCTCGTATATGCATATAATATAGGGATGCATTTATCCTTAATTATTTTTATATATCAATGCATAAGTATTATTATTTCTCCTAATACATTTTCATACATAACACACCTACATAATATATAACATCTATTGGAACAATAGTTCCGGATTAAATGGATCAATGTGGCCATGTCCATCCGTTGGAAGAGATCAAATGAACACGACCAATAGAAACTAGCAAGAAATGTTCCCAAGACCTACTTGCAATGGAAATTGTAACCGTTTTAATTATAAAGTTAAATTAATTAAATGTTTTCTCTTGTTTATAGAATGAAGGCAGTATAAATGTTAGTGATCGACAACTTGACAACTATATAAATATTCTATGTAGGTTTATCTACATTTAGTTTATTGATGGTTAATCGCAAAAAAAATTAATACGACGGACGCATGCTACAATAGGAAAGATGCCTAATTTTTATTTTAATGTCCGTCTGGTAGATTATTTTAAATTAATTATTTTCTTACAGAACGAATACTTTCGACGATATATTGATTTGAAATGTCGCGTGACGTCACTTCTATGTACATTTTATACGTAGAAATGACGTTTTAGCCCCCACTCTTAAACTTTGATTCGTTTCATCTCAGTATTGTTTTATTATACGACAAAATAAAAAAATACGTGCCTAATATTTTTTCATTACCCAACTGAAAAAATAGGAGGTGGATAGTTTTAAGGTCTATATCTATTTGAAGGTTTTATTTATATACCTAACTAGGTTGCTATTAACTTCATATATCGAATAGATACATATGCACAGAGATATTCCTTTTATTTACCTTCATTTGTAGGTCAGTCGGTAAGGGACAAATCTTGCTAGCTAATTTTATCGTAGAATGGAAACCTGAGTACCTACGTACGGGGGCGTTTTAAATAGGTTAGTGTTGAATATATTGCTGTGCGTATATTTTCTCAGAGGTATTATGTATGTGGGTAGAAAGGAAGTATTATAGTAGTATTATCTTAACTGGGGTAAACTGAACTCTCTGAAGTATACCTACATAATAAATTATCATGTTTTCGGCTTTCTCACGTAATAATTTGACGAGGAGGCTCAATCGAAATGCTGCTCATGAATATGAGCCTCTAGCATGGCTTGAAACTAGTCGAATTCCTCGTCAAATTATTATGTGAGAAAGTCGAAAACATAATAATTTATTTAGTATGTCTCACGAAAGTTACAATACAAATATACCTACATATACTAAAGTTGAAGAAAGAACAGGAGCAAGAAACGGAATTACTTAGCGGATTTTTTTTCATTTCTTGATAAATATTTTCTGTTTTCAAAAAAAGGAACGGTACTATGTTCCAATAATTGTTTTTTTTTCTAAAGTTATAGAGTATGATAAAATAAAAAAAATCTATTGGTTCCGTTTCTTTGTTTCCAGGTGCATTATTTGATGAACATTCAGGGAAGCAACATCCTATGTATTGACGTCTTCACTTCTTATTACATGGGGCTTTAAATTTATATCGTAGCTCATTGAGATAAACATAAGACAACTGGTGATCATTTAATTGGATGAGTATATTAAGGGAAACAATACGATTACGTACTACTTTCACTATCCATCAGTTCAGGTAGGCTATTCTGTAACTGTCAATTCGAACTTTTATAGTAAGGTCGATTCCATTCTCGTCCGTCACTGGTTGAGATTATTTACACAACCAATGGCACGATCGAGTTCAAATGGAAGGGTTCGATCTTTTAAATTGAATAGTTCAGAATAGCAAGACCCACAACTGGTAAAAGTGCGTGTTATGATTGTAGGAGGTATAGATATGTGTACTTCTGCTGTTATGATATAATATGTAGACATCTATTTATTTAATTGTTTATCCTTACTAATATTATAAATCGGAAAGTGAGTGTTTGTTTCTTTGTTCCACTTTCGCGCCGTAACTACTAAACCGATTGCTTTGAATTTTTGCAGACGTGAAGTTAGAAGTCTGGATTAAGTAATAGGGTACTTTTTATCCCGGAAAAATTTGATATTCTCGAGGGAAAGGAAATTATTGGTAAAGATGGCGCTGTGTGTATTGGTATATGTCACATAGGCTACTTTTTATCGTTTTGTGACGCGAGCGAAGCCGCGGGTAAAAGCTAGTCGTCTATAAATTAAAAAGAGAACTCAATCACATCTGCCAATGTAATGTTTAGTACAAAACATTGGGGTTTCCATTAAAAGCGAATGGGTGGACGTCCTTATTTCCATAATTACTATGCGACAACTTGATTGATTAATCACAGTGCTGTGTTAAATTGTGGCCCTAAGTTTTCTGATCAACTTGAGTGATATAAGCATTTAAATAAATATGCTGTAAATAAAGTAAATGACAGTGCAATTAACAAATAAATGTTAGAACTGTTAGAGTCGATATTGCAACTGTTGAGATTCTGGGTACGAAATTCGACATGCATAGGTGTGAATGTGAATCACTCTGAATAACTAAACCAACACGCCAGTGTTAGTAAAACCTGATTGTCCTGATTGATGTATGAAGGATAGAAGATAAGATTTTGTAAAGAATGTAGTAGAGTAGAGAGTCATGGCGTACCTACGTGTATTTTATATGTATAGAGTTGAACAAGGTTACAAAATTACAAAGATAAAGTAAATAAAGATATATTTACTCGGTGGTGGCTCTTGTGTTTGTTCTGGCCTGGCTTCTTCCCTAGCGACCCTCGCCAATTTCTCCGCATAGTCCCGAAATTTCTGAAACAAATAAATTACGAATTCAGTTATAACAAAAAAAGAAACTTTAAATATTGGTTGTTCTTTTATATGGTAGCCAGACTCCTCCTCGTAATTTTGAATGTTACCGATTCAATAAGTGACGGTAATTAATTTTGTGCTACTTAGAAACCTAGATATAGATATATAGGTTATGGTTGCATAATGCATAGGTATAAATGTGTTATGAAAGTGTAACAATACTATCAAATAAATATGATTGTAAATCACCACGTCTTGACAATTTGATGATGTAAACTGAACCCAACTGCTAGGACTTTACGTAGATAATTGACTTAACTTTCTCACTCTGTCTTAATTGTAGTTACTATTGCAACATTCGATTGACAGCAGCCTCGCCCTGAACATTTGATTACAAACGCTAAATCATATTTAAAAGCACCCTTCACGCGGGTGATTGGAATCAATCAAAACGCATTTTCATATTAATTGGCATCGGTAGAAATACCAGATTCTGACGGTCTGGCGCCAACCATAGCCACTTGTGGAATGGAACAACGCACTACATAATACACGTGAATACCTATAAACTACAAATCTGTTACGTAAATTATACAATAGAGGATCAAACAAACTATGCACAATAACAATGGCATGTAGAAACAACAGTTACATACATGGGTTCTCAGATCTCTCGCGACACGTCCCTCATGACAATCAGCTCATAATTAAACAATTAACGTAAATTAGAATGCGTTTTCACGTTAATTGACTACCGAGCAGAATGCATAAGACCATTAATTACCATTGGGATGCATTCATACCCTGAACATGGTAATCGAGACACGATCTCGCAATATCTTCTAATCTCTTGCACAGTCCACATTTAGCCACGAGTGCTGCTAGATTTACGGCCGTTTTGCACTTTAAATTGGGCGTATTACTGGCCACTAAGTATATAATAAAAATATTAGACGATCGTGCTGTGTTATGTTATCTGTGGAACGTTTGAGATGCTCGACGCGGAGTTATTTTGGCCACGTTATCGTGGAGAGTGGCTGCACTCCGCCTTGCCCTCGGGTTACGATAAATCAATAATATCGTGTACCTAAGTGAATTATCGATATTTTACATTTTATGCCTATTTGTTATCGTTAATAGGAACGAACTTAACGATCGCACTGCGCAATTACCTCTAGGCTACGTTGTTTGTCTGTCGCACTGTGTAATCACGCACTTCAATTACGGATATGAACGAGTAAGGAATCAGTCATTTGACATTCCCTGTTATTCCATTAACAAGTTATTTATATTCACTCAGACAGGTAAAATGATGATGTTCGATGTTTGCCTTGATTAACTTTTCATCAGGTAATGGCGCCTTCGCGGTTCCTTTTCGTAGCATTTAGCAAACTGAATATTTTATTCAATATTTTTTTATTTCTTTAACAAAAGCATTTAATAAACTATTTATATATTTAATTAGGTAATAGTTTTAAAAGATGATCGGTTATGTAAACGCTTAGTATAAAAAAATAGTATATTTTTAAGCATGTAATTGCGACTACCAGTATTAAATGGTAGGTGGTTAAGTACTGAGAACTTCTGAACTCTTCTACTTTCATACTTGAAAAGGTGTACAAAACATCAAAAGAGCTCAAATTACACAAACTAAAGATTTTTAATTAAATATTTCAAAAATACTAATCTTACCTTGCTTACTGAGATCAAAGTGGTGTTAAAAGAAAAACCATATTTAAGCACTATAGAGCCAGGATTTTTACTTTTACCTACGCTTTGTTCGTAACTTAAACTTTATTCCATTCTCAAATATAATTTGTTGTATTTATTGAACGATGTTGCCTCAAAATAATTCGTAAGCAAGGGGTGGTAGATGTTTGTTTGATGATTTACGAGACCTCTGAGGGCAATATTTCTTCTCGTTTACTACAACACAGGTAGATATTTTAATAATATTCATATGGTATGTTGAATTGAAGTAGGTTTGTATTGTAAATATTTCGACGCGCAGGAATAAGGTGGAGGCCTTTGTCCAGCAGTGGACGTCTTCTGGCTGTTGATGATGATGATGAACGCCAAGGAAACAGGCGTGAGGTTACGTATGTATAGGGTTGCCACCCGTACTTTATAATGAAGTATTGTACGTTATTTAAGGTAATTGTACTCTATACTTTATAAGAATAATAAAGTACACGAAAATACTTTATTTTTGCAAACTTCATTTCTATTAAAGTCGTATGTATTTTTCGGTAAACTTATCGATTCGATATCGATATTTATACATTTATTTGGAATCGATTTCGCCACTCGCCAGCGCCACTTTGACAATTTTTAGTAAAGATACAATTGTTTAGTAAAGATACTAATTTAATACAAACTGCAAAAAGCAATAAAAATATATTTTTAAATATAATACTAAAAAAGAATAAATTGTACTTTATTTTTGTACTATGTAGGTACTTTTTTCTTACCTATAATCGTCAATGTACTTTAAATACCAAAAAAATGGTGCCAACCCTACGTATGTATGTAAACATGTCCAATTTATCGTCTTCATTCTAACTAACGTACTACAGTTCTCCATTAGTTATGAAGTTCTATAGATAATCTTAAAGACATCAATGCAATCTTCAGTATAATTTTGAAGATTATCTACACCTTTTAGAACCACTTTTACTTAGGTATTCTGTCCTTTCGTTTTTAAGAATGTTGGCGTACTGTTTACGTCAAGTAAAGATTTATGCTGTATCTCATTTCCGTCTCATTCAACTTTCATCTCAGTCTTTTTAAAAGATTTAACCTTTTAAGGATTCTCAGAAAAACAAAGTGCGTACCCAGGTAGGTACTTTCCTTTTGTATTTTTTACACAAATATTCTTTGCTAATAAACTTTTGTAAATAAAACTATTAGACTAGACTTTTAGGTAAGTGTTTAGGCAATTTGATGTTCTATGTTTACTTCACATTAATTACTTTAAGAAAAAACCTTGGCACCGTCCTTGCACTATTAGTTTATCGTGTGTTGTGAATGCATTTATTAGGTAAAAGATAATTTTACATATTATACATACACAACACCCAGACTTAGAACACCACAAAGAATGGGGTAGACGACTAATTTTTATTTTAATGTCCGTGTGATAGATTATTTAAAAACATTAGACACGTATTTTTTATTTTCTCACAGAAACGAATAGTTTCGAAGATATATTGATTTGAAATGACGCGTGACGTCACTTCTCAGTACATTTTATACTAAGGAATGACGTTTTAGCCCCCACTCCTAAACTTTGATTCGTTTTATCTAAGTATTGTTTTATTATACGACAAAATAAAAAAATACGTGTCTAATATTTTTTCATTACCTAACTTACGGACTAATTATATTTTTAATTTTCATACCCTGTCATCATCCCCATTGTTGCGTGCGAGAACACATCCTGTGACACTTAGTATAGTCTGTTGCAGTGCCACTACCCCACTGTGCTAAATGAGCAATCATAATCCAACAGATTCACCTATTGTTGAATCATATACGATTCAATATAGATTACTAGATTTTATAAGACATAGTGTAGGTACAAGTAGACACTAGAACACGTGTTGATATCGATGATTGTCATCGTAATTCTAAGTACACGAGCAACGCAAATTGAAAATTGAAATCTCATTATACCGTGTTTGAGTTTCTAGTATGGATCGTTCAATTCGTTGCAACGTGTTCGAATTAATTATAGCTATTCTATCGTATCGAACTTAATCATTGTTCTCCTATAACTGAGTTTCTCAAACAGTTCTGTGAGTGAGGTTACCGGAGGCCTAATTACTCCACTCCCTAGTCTCCAGAATCCCCGTATCCTCCACAATCCTCAAACTCTCAATTTCCAAAAGGCCGGTAACGCACTTGTAACCTTGGTGTTGGGTGTCAATGGATGGCGCTGATTGCTTGCCATCAGGTGATCCGTCTGCCTTGAAATCGTCGTCTTGAAATTAATAGAGATTTACTCAGTACATTTACATGAGTAACCAGTCGTTTTAGTTAATGATTGCGAATTATTACTTACGCACTTGTACCTTTTCTGTTATTGCTTTGCTTTGTATGTGGTTTCGATTGTATACCATCCATCCGATGATTCTGATGAGGCCTACGCTTAGCCTACACTTTTTTCGCACGCTCCTCAATGATATGAAGCTTTATAATTACTCAGACTATCTCAAAAAAACGGCTGAAACGAAAGATTCCCCAAGATGTGCTGCAGTAGACACACACAAATATTAAAAAGGATGCGACATAGGTCGCTATCCTGAACACGCCCTTATTTAGACAAACCTACTCTTTAATGTCCCACTGGCGACAGATCGCGTTATAGAAGTGTTAAAAAACTCAGACTATCAAATTAATTGATAGCATCGTTATTGATTAAACGAGTGTCTTGTAAAACTTATCAAACTTTGAGTCCTTCCGAGGCTTTTAAATCCCTAAAGTTGGGAAGTACAATTATTTAACGTTTACTTAAGATTCTTAAGTACTTAGGTAGGTACTTGTTCTTAGGTTCAATTCCCTGGAAATATACAAATTTAGTTGTTTACGGTTACCTCCTATCACGAGACTTAGAACGTTGTAACAAAAACATTTTAGTAGATTATAATTTTAATAAGTATTTGCTTATTTCCAGAATAACAATATTAATTTAGACTGGTAATTGGATTTTTCCCATATTTCGTTGAACAAGCACTTAATGTAGTCTTTTTTTTATTACTCGTGTAGGTATTGTTGTTGTACATTTACATAAATACTTGTTGGAATCCATTCGTTTGAAGTCAGGTTCCCGAGACAAATATCAGCAACATTGTAGCTGCGACTATAGCTAGGAGAGAATATCTTTAAGATACAAATTACCATACTTATCTCAGATTGGAAAACATTCTACTACTTGCTTAGATTTGCTAGGCATTTATAAAAGTCTTGTTACTGATAATAACAATGTTTTTATATTAACT